TCTCCCTCTCCCACTCCCCCTGCTTGTGTTCCCGCTCTTGCTGTGTCTCTCTCTGTCAAATAAATAAATAAAATCTTAAAAAAAAAACAGATTTATTTATTTATTTGAGAGAGAGAGAGAAATCAAGCAGGAGCAGGGGGGAAGGGCAGAGGGAGAGAGAGAAACTTAGGCAGGCTCCATGCCTAGCACGGGGCCCGACACGGGGCTCTATCTCACAACCCTGAGACCATGACCTGAGCCAAAATCAAGAGTCTGCACACTTAACTGACTGAGCCACCCAGGCACCCCAGATGCAGGTTTTATTTGACAAATAGAGTATACACTGTCAATGTATTTTTCTCTTCCTCATGATTTCCTTACATATTCTTTGCTCTAACTTACTTTATCTTAAGACTACAATATGTACCACATATAACGTGCAAAATGTGTTCATTGACTATTGATGTTATGTAGTCAACGGTAGGGTATTAGTTAGTGGTGAAGTTCTGGGAGGAGTCAGAAGTTATGCGTGGATTTTCAGCTGCATGGCAGTGGGTGGGGAGGAGGTTGGTGCCCCTAACTCTCAGGTTATCCAAGGGTCGACCATGATATGAAAATGTGTTGGGACGCCTGGGTGACTCAATCAGTTAAGTGTCTGACTTCGGCTCAGGTCATGATCCCAGGGTCCTGGGATCGAGTCCCTTGTCGGGCTCCTTGCTCAGCAGGAAGCCCGCTTCTCCCTCTCCCTCCGCCTGCCACTCCCCCTGCTTGTGCTCTCTCTCTGTGTGTCAAATAAATAAATAAAATCTTAAAAAAAAAAAAAAGAAAGAAAATGTGTTAACTACAGAGTGAAAGTTGTCCCCAGTCCAGCTCTCCTCCCCCTCGCAGCTGGGCTTAACCGTTGTTTTATAGTTGTTGGTATCAGCACAGTGTTCAGCGTCCTCATCCAGGAAAGGCCGCTCTGGAGCAGACTGTGCACTGGAGCTGGGAGGCAGTGGCCAAGCCCCGTCCCCACAGAGTAGCAGGCCGGGCTGACCCACAGGCCCGGGCTACAGTCACTGAGTTAGCCCCTGTGGTTGAACATTTAGGTGACTTTTTTCTTGTGTGCTATTTCAAATAAGGCTTTACTGACTCTACTCAATTGCTTATCCTTATAATACATGACTAAAAGGGACATTGCTGGGGCAGTGAATGGGTAGGTGTATTTTTAAAGCATTTAGGACGTACTTTCAAATCATCCTCCAGAAAGTCTCTGTAGGGATGAGAAGGCCTGCTTTCCCACTGCCTGCCAACTCCAGACTTTAGAGCAGCTGTTTTCTACATTGAAATTGATCTTATCATCAGGTAAAAGGGCTGTCTTTTTTTTTCTTTTTTTTGACAAAAATGCTAGTTGAAGACTCCCAAACAAATTAATAAACTCTATCAAAGAAATGGAAATTAAAATGATGAGATACCACATTTCATCTCAAGAGACCGATGATCCCCAACGTTGACAGAGGTCAGGGGAGAATACTTTCACATACTTCTCACTGGTGAGGTATGAACTGTACCACCGTTTTGGAGACCAGCTGGCAGAATTTGCCAAAACTGGAAATGCATTGATTTTTGGGGCCTATGTATTCCATAATTCAAATGTATTTTAGAGGAAAAAGATATACATACATCCACCCTTTTTAATTAAAGATAAATTAGAGGAAACCAGAATGTTTTAGCAATAGGGACCTGGAAAAGTAACATACCCCCACAATGGGATATTATGGTAAATCTGTACATCCCTAATGTGGAAAGATGTCCACTGCATATTGCTAAGTGAAAAGTTTTGGACCAATATGTATAATATCTTTTTTTGCCTCACTTCTCCCCCAAATATATATTTGTATTTGCGTGATAGAAAAATCTAGAAGGACATGCACCAAACTTTTAATAGCGATTACTTCTGGGGAATAAAGTGAGAGACTTTAACTTTTTGCTCAAATACTAATATTTGAACTTTTTACAGTAAGTATTGGCTCTTATAATTTAAAATAAATTTTTTCTCAAATTAAAAAATGTATGTGTAATTTGGGGGGGGAAGTTAACTAAGGGGCTACCCTCTAAATTACGTAATTAATGAAGTACAATAATCTCCCAAAATCTAACGAGAAAGGATGGAAGGAAATTAAATTACAGGCAAATGCTCCAAGAATACTTAAAAAAAAAAACAACCCACAGACAACACAAAAAGAAATCAAAGATGTCAAGGAGCATGAGGCCTCCTTCTCTGCCAGTAGGACTCCAAACTGGTACAGCCACTTTGGTAAACAGTCTGGTTCACCTGGTCAAGTCGAAGACATGCACGCCGTGTGTGACCCGGAAGAAACCATGTGTGTGGACGCCAGATGCATGCACGAGCATCGTTTGAAGTGCCAAACACTGAAGCCCCCTCAGATGTCCACCAACAGTGGGATGGGTGAATAAATTCAAGTACTGTAATGCAGTGGACAAATGAATGCTTTTCAGCTGCTTATAACAACATAGTTGATCTTGCAAACCTATGGTAAACAACAATAAGCAAGATGCTAGAGAATCTTTCGTGTAGACTAGCAGGGACAGTAGTTCTCTGTAGTGTGGAGAGGGGCTGATGACCAGGAAGGGACCTGTGGGGGTTTCCGGGTGCTGGCAGTATTCTATTTCCTGACCCAGGCGGTGGTTACATGGTTGCCGAAAAGCTTGTTTGCTTCATAAATGCTCATAAAACTATACATTTGTGTTTTATGTCCTCTCTGTATGAAAATTATATTTTACAGTTTTTTTAAACATTAAAAAAAAAAAATAGCCGTGGAGTCTCCTCTTCCAGAAAGCCTTCCTGGACCACTACAGCTCTGGATGATCTCACGCCTCTAGAGCGCCCCTGGAGTCCAGCTCCCAAGTCCGACCCTGACTGTGCTTCCCTTGTCTCCTGTCCCGGCCCAGGTCCAGCGGAACTGCTGTCTGACCCTCTGTAACTTCAGCATCCCCGAGGAGCTGGAATTCCAGTACCGCCGGGTCAACGAGCTCCTGCTCAGCATCCTGAACCCCACTCGGCAGGACGAGTCGATCCAGCGCATCGCTGTGCACCTGTGCAACGCCCTGGTCTGCCAAGTGGACAATGACCACAAGGAGGCCGTGGGCAAGATGGGCTTCGTTGTGGTGCGTGCCCTCGGGCGGCCCCGCCTCCCCTCCCTCCCTGCCTGCCTTCTCCAGAGCCCCTCTGCCCCCTGAAGGATTTCAGCTCGACCAAAGGAAGAATCTCCTCACCATGAATGTAGCTTATGTCCCCGTAGGTTTGCTCCGCCTAAAACATTCTGGCATCTTCTCCCAGCCGCTCCAGCTGCCCACTTGGTCCCACCATCCAAGCCACTCTTGGCTCCTTGGACCAGGTCCCCTATTAGGTCTTTCTCACTGGGGTTAAATAAGTATCTGAGGGACTGTCTGTTTAATGTCGGCCTCCCCACTGGGTTGTGAGTTCTGTAGGGAAAGATGCCACACCTGTTCCTTCTTCCGTCATGACATCCCCAGCACTTTCTAGCATGGGGCCTGGCACACAGTGGGGAGAGTAAGTATTTGCTGAAGAGTGGAAGGAAAGAATGAGGAAGGAGCATCTGGTCTCCTCCTCTTACTTTAGCGCTGGATAGGCTGGAGCCCACAGAGGGGAGGGCCAGGCCCAAAGCTACACAGGGAACCAGGGTTGAGCCAGGACTAGCACCCAGGTCTCCCGATGCTAGGGACCAAGTCTGTGGGTTGCACTTCTTCAAACAGCCCCCCTAGACCAGATAGGCACATTTGGTCTTGTCAGGATGCATTAGCCAGGAGTAGAAGTGCTGACTCTCCTCTCTCCATCTTGGTTCTTGGGGGACACAGTAGCTCTTGAACCCTGGCCCCCCGCAAGTTCTCTTCTCTGCCCACAGACCATGCTGAAGCTGATTCAGAAGAAGCTGCTGGATAAGATCGTAAGTCGAGCCTTCATGAAGCCACTCTGCCCCTCCCCTAGCCCAAGAGGGGTTGGTTTATCCCCGGAGGATACCCAGGTTTTGTTAGGGGGCACCCTCACAGGTGTCAGGAGCCTGCAGGGCCCTCCAGGCGAGCTGTGCTGAGCTTACCTCTCCCTTCAGTGTGACCAGGTGATGGAGTTCTCCTGGAGTGCCCTGTGGAACATCACGGACGAGACGCCCGACAACTGCGAGATGTTCCTCAATTTCAATGGCATGAAGCTCTTCCTGGACTGCCTGAAGGTACTGCCCGTGTCCAGCGAGGCGGCCTCCTTGACCACGCACACGGCCACTCTTCTGTCCCCAGGCGTCCCACCACCCAGATCCGTCAGCAACCCCTCTCCCCATGGTTCCCACGGAAGGGCAGTGGGGGCCGACTTACAGGCCCACCCCTCTCTTAGAGCCCTCCCTCCAAGGGAAAACCCAGTCCCATCCTTCTCCACAGCAATTTCTCGGGCTGCCCACAGTCTGGCTGGGGTTCACTGGGATGTCAGCTGGATAGAATTCTGTCCAGGAGGATGGTCTTTTAAAAGTCATCCTTGGGGCACCTGGCTGGCTCAGTTGGTAGAGCATATGACTCTTGATCTCAGGGTCATGGGTTCAAGCCCCACGTTGGGCATAGAGCTTCCTTTAAATAAATAAATTAATTAATTAATTAAATAAATGGTAGCAATTATAAAAAATAAATATAAAACTCA